TTGAGGGCAGACTGAGAAAGATGGATTTAACAATATATACTGCATTGAAACAGATGAGGGAGAAAACTGTTTAAAAGGGATATGTGATTAGGTATTTTTGTCATGACAGGAGTCTAGAGCGAAGACTACATGGTGGAATGGACCTGGGGGAGGGTTTGTAAAACAATAAAAGAATTTTTCTTTTCCTTTTCCAAGAGGGTAGTATACTTGGGGGGAAGGGCTGGGAGGGAAGAAAAGTGCAACAGTGAATGAGTGGAAATCCAAAGTGTCTGTAAATTTTTACTGAAATGAATAATAAATTTAAATAAATAAAAAACAAACAAACAAACAAACAAACACACAAAAAACCAAAACCACCAAAAGGCTGAGAAAAAGTGAACATATTCTCAATGGGAAGATATTGGAGACTGCAGCATATGGAAAAGGGGAAATCCCATATGGAGAAGAAAGAGGAATGAAAGAAATGTGTGTAAGTAAACATGCCACGTCTTTCTCTTCACATACTCAGTAAGAACTCTGTTGGTTCAGTGGTTAGGTACGTGGATACTTGGGAGAAAAGACCTGGTACTATGATCCCATAAGAAAACCCTGTGAGATAGTTCTACTCTGTCCTGAAGAGTCTCTGTGAATCATTATCAACTCAACAGCTCAAAGCACAACATAAATTTATAGATCACAAGCTTTAAAGCTTGCATGTGCTCTCTCTCTGTCTCTCTCTGTCTCTGTCTCTCTCTCTCACACACACACACACACACACAGAACCCCTTATCACACATGTCCACAGACTATACCAATGCTTTAAATAATGAAGTAGTCAAATCATCGAATACACAGGAAATCTTATAACTGGCCAGAAAATGAAGAGACAAATTACAAATGAAAATTGAAAGAGAAAAATGATATCAGAATTCTCATAAACAACTATGCAAGTAAAAACTAATTTTGATGGGGGTGGGGTGGGCGGGGAGAAAAGTGCAACAATGAATAAATGGAATTCCAAAATCTCTGTAGATGTTCATTGAAATTACAAAATAAAAAAAATTTAAAAACAAAAAAACCCCCCTAATTTTGAGTACTGGAAGGGGGACAGTATTCACCAAGATTCCCATAGATACTGGAAATATCTTCCCAAAGCTAGTGCAAGTGAAAATGTTCCCACACAATAGCTGAGAGAATTAATCATCAGTATACCTCGACTACAAAAAAGACACAATATCATCAGGCCAAAGGAAAATTATATGAGAGCAAAGTTTTCAAGTGCACAAAGGAATAAACAGCAACTGAAATGGTTAGTATGTCAGTAAATAGGGGAAAAGGGTTATTTTACGGTTTTATTTTTAAAATTATTGTTTGAAAGAAACAGAATATATTATGGGGTTTATAACAATACATTGTGGAGTTTAGTTATAGGCTTATCAAACTCACACTAACATACAGTAATATAAGCATGCAGAGGCAAAACATCAGATAGAATATAATTCAAATTTCTAATAAAAATAGACATTTGCATTCCTACCTTCCTTCCCAACCATTCCTTTAAAGGGTCCTGTAGACCAGATGTGAAAAGTGAAGAAAGGCTATTTCTGGAGAAGAGGCAGGACCCAGCCATCCAGTTCGTGCTTTCCGCAGAGGGTCGTGCAGGGTCAAGTGTGAGTCTCAGGAGACATTGACTTAAGGTGGCCTCATCCATCTGTCAGAAGTTTGGAACCTAGATCTCAGCACTGCTGTGGGGAGCCGGGCTCAGCCAGACTTAGCATCCTTGTTCCCGTGAGAGTATCTGAACCTATGAAGAAAACAGCTCTGAAATAAAAACCAGTTCTGTAGAGGGTTCTATTCTGGAGAGGAAAAAGTGTGTGAAGCCATCACAAATTTTAAGGGCTCGGAATGTGATCCCACCTGAAAAAGTGTCTCACCTGCTATAGTAGATCCAGGTGAGAACATAGGTGAAAAGGAAGCCAGCCCCCATAATGACTCCCCTGATCAGGGTTAAGACCAGAGGCCAGGAGCCTGTGTGATCGCCGGAGACACAGAGGCAGGAACAGGAATCACCTGCGGGAAGAGAGAGGGGAAGGGAGGAATGAGGTTCCTGGGTCCCTGCTTCAACCCAGCTCACAGTCTCACCTGAGAATGCAGGTGCCCTGCCCATACTCACCCTTCACAACTAGGTTCAGGGAAATGTGGCTGGAGTCCGACAGGTGCTGAGCTCGGCAGGTAAATTCTCCTCCATCCCCAGAAACAACATAGGGAAGCTCCAGAATGGCCGAATTCAAGGACTGGGAGGGGCTTAGTGTTAAGCTCCCCCGGGACCAGCTCAGCTTGGCAGGAAGGTTGCTGTCTGCATTACAGACCAGGCGCAGTGACTGGCCCTCTAAGACGTGCAGTGAAGTGGCATTGGCCAAGATCTCTGGGACTAGGCAGATAAAGAGAATCAGAGGGGCAGGGCTGAGAGACCCGTGTCTCACTTTGTTATCCCATGGACAGTGTTGTGAATGGAACTGCTGGTGAAGAATATCGAATAGATCATGGATTTTCAAGACTATTTAACATACCAGCAACAATAACAAAGTTCAACAGGGCAGCAAACAACAAATGCTAGCAAGGTTGGTTGTAGAGAGAATGGAACACTTACTCACTGCTAGTTGGGATGTAAAATGGTACAGCCACAATGGAAAGTAGTCTGGCACATTCTTAAGTTGTAAACAGAAATACTATTTCACCCAGCAAGTTCACGACTGGGAATATACCCTAAAGAAACCAGAGCCATGACTCAAACAGATGTATGCACAACCATGCTTTTTCCTGCATTATTCACAACAGCAAAGAGATGGAAGCAACCTTTTTTGCCCAACAACAAATGAATGGATAGAAAAACTATGGTACATCCACACAATGGAATATTACACACCACTGAAAAACAATGAACTTGTAATACATTATATAACACGGGAGAGCCTGGAGGATATTATGCTGAGTGAAAGATCTCACGCACAAAAGGACAAATACTGCATAACACCACTGTTATAAAATAGGGCAAACATGGGGGGATGTTGGGGAGAGAATGAGGAAAGCATGGGGATAGATAACGAACACTGCACTAGAAAAGATGAGAGAAGCACACCCATGTTTATCACGACTTTGTTCACAACAGCAAAGAGCTGGAAACAACCCAAGCGTTCATCAACAAATGAATGGATAGAGAAGCTGTGGTATATTCACACAGTGGAATACTATACAGCACTGAAAAACAAGGAACTCAAGTGCAACAATGAATGAATGGAAATCCAAAGTCTCTGTAAATTTTTACTGAAATTAGTAATAAATCTAAATAAATAAAAAAAGAAAAACAAGGAACTCATGAAATATTATGCAAAGTGGATGACCCTGGAGGACATCATGCTGAGTGAAATATCTCAGTCACAAAAGGACAAATA